AAATCCAACCACAACAAAATCAACAGCTTTAGTAAAGTTACTTTAATAATCACCTTATCCTGTAATAACAAGTACCCTTGTTCAACCATCCAGTACTCATGCAAGTCAGTACAAGGATGGAAAACTAATAATTGACCAATGTGAGGATCTCGAAAAACTTCACTACTTTCCATTTTTGCAATCGATTTCCTAAAATTATCAAAACTACCTTCTGCCAACATGTCCTTGACCACCCAATTGTCGTCAGACAAAGCTAAAACTTGTATATAACATTAAAATAACGTATTTCTGCAAAACTCATAGGGGAACATTCAATACCGAAATATATAGCCAAACATTCTTTGCAAGAACATCTCTTTTTTCCAAGGCAAAGGCATAGACTAATAAAATCAAAAGTTTTAAAAAAATACCTTTCACCGCATCCTCTATAGGCCATTTCAAAGTGTTAATGCGAGCGTATCTTGGACACGAACGTTCTATAGTCAACGGAGTTTCCAAAAAGTCTGAAGATGCACTTTTCTGTTCAGCAGCCTGTAAAACTGTAAGAAATTATATGCAACAAAAAAAAAATAAGCTACAAGTCAAACTTTCACTATCATTCAAAGTCGCTATAAAATGCTCAAAAAACCCAAATACAACACACAGTATAACTGTTGTAGAACCAAACAAACAAACTAGCAAATGAATAAGTTACCTACCTACATCTTCAAAACCACTAGTAAACAAAAAATAAACTAAACGATCAACACATTCCAGATGTCATTACCAGTGTATTCGACAATACCAAATATAGCAAAATTTCTTCACATTTTCATTCCAAAATAACAAAAACTATACTGCACTGTAACGAACCTGTTGAGAAATCACTTCCTTCAATGCAGTAATCGGACCAGAAAGCTTTTTGCTGCATCTACGTAGACCATTACCAAATAAGTATTCGTAGAGGAGGACATAGACAATTGAGAAGTGCTCATATGTAGGATGCTTAAGCAGTGGTTTCAGCGCATTATGAGCTAATAATCGATCGAAGTAAACGCGATTCTTTAATGTTTCGCAGCAAATTCTTAGTAGCTGCTTCTTGTTCTAAAGTACAATTTTAACAATAACAATAATGAGAATTGCATCAAGCAAAAAGATCCTTTTATATCACTAATTAAAAATGGCCACCTTAAAACTACTTTCGTAGACAGCGGAACGTACGCTCCTTTCCTTATTCAGAGCTTGTCGGACGATTTCTGCACTCGAATAATAAAGGTCGTCCATAAACATCTTGACTGACAACGTTCTTCATTCAACCACTGATAATCTACAACCGAAAATACCATTTAAATACACTTACTAACATCTGTCTCGTCCGTATTCGTGCAATGATAACTGTGTCCTTCCGTGTAGTAATAGGTATTAAAACTTGGACAAGAGTTATCAAATTCTCATCCATAAACCCTTCCACTGCCACTTGATACCCACAAGAAGCATTCGCCATAAGAATGATAGCATTTTTGGCATGCAACTGATTCAACTGTCAGTGCTTTGAATGACAATAAATTAAGCTGCATTTTACCAGAAATACAAATCATCTAGTCCTTGCCGGAATGGTTTTAAAAAAAATTTCAGATAGCCAGGTTCCCACACTAATAGCGAAGTATTTTCAAACTTCTTTTGTAAACCTATTTCACCTTGCAAACACTGTTAAAAAGTTTGCTATAAACAAAAATACTCATTTAATTGACTTTTCCAAATAAACAAGCCTCCAACCGCTTTTTGATATTCCTACCAAACTTCCACTGAAATGTTGTCACCCAAGTCTGGCTGCAAGCACTTCAAAAATATCCACACAATAACAGGAATGTAAGTTCAAACTAAGCAGTACGGCAACAAAAGTTTAGTACAGGAGTGATCTTCTTGATTCTGCAGTCTTGCAACCAGTATAATCTGAAAAAACAAGAAAATCTTTTTAAATAATACTACCAATCAGATTACCAATCCTCAACAACTAAACCTTGTAAAACACATAACAAAAAAAAACTGCACATTTCGATCTTACTACATCAAATGCTCCACCGCAACTCTTTAAAATCAAAAACAACTGATACGAGGTAAAGGGCGAGTACATGTCAAACGGTTTATCAGCAGCGTTTTAACCTCAGAAAGTTGTCCCCCGCTTGAGAAATTTCCACTTTGCTACATCTGTATATAACATTTTACTGCATCTTTCCTTGCCCTTTTTCTGCTCTTCTCCAAATCGTCACCTCAACTTCGGACTCAGTATTACTGTATATCAAAAAAACCAACATTCTTCTTTTGTTTTTACCAGTCTGGTTTACTCATTTTGCTTTTCCAACACTAAAATTTTTCAGGATACTCAGAAACTTATCAAGCCTTGCAAAACAAAGAAATGCTTCCGAATAATGGTAACGAGATGTAAGCAGAAGGTATGATTGAAAAACAAATTATAAAATATACTTTATTGAGCAAATGAAAAGAACTTCCTCCTATACAACTATTTTGAGGAGTCAAGCTATAAAGCAACAAATTTATATATATATATATATATAT